TCGGCGAATCAGGGACATAAATCACGGGAATAATATCCTGCGCAGGTCGATCCAATCTCATGTCACTCTGCATTTCCATGTCGTGCAGGATTGCCAGGAAAGGGTGGGGCGAAGCGGAAGGGGAGTGGAGGAGGAGGAGGGGAGGGGAGGAAAGAGGAAGAGAGAGGGGGGGAAAGAGGGGAGGGGAGGAGGAGGGAAGGGGGAAGAGGGAGAGAGGGAGGGAGGGGATATGGAGGAGAAGGAGGGGATGGGAGGAGGGAAGGGAAGAGGAGGATGAGGGAAAGGGGAGAGGGGAGAGGATGAGGGAAAGGGGAAAAGAGGGAAGATGAGGAAGAGGGGAGAGGAGGGACGGGGAGGGGATTAGTATTAAAGGGGGAAGGAAGGGATAGGAAGGAGGGGAGATGAGGAAGAGGAGAGATGAGGAGAGGAGGAGGAGGGGGAAGGTGGGGAGAAAGAGGAGGAGAGAAGGGAAGGGAAGAGGAATGGAATGGAGGGAATGGGAGGGGAAAAGGATAGGAAAGAGAGGAGAGGAAGAGGGAAGGGAAGAGGGAAAAAAATGAGGAGAAGGAGGGGAAAAGGGAGGAAAGATGGGAAAGGAAGTAGAGAAGGAATGGAGGGCAAGAGTGGAGAGGAAAAGGGAGAGTACGTGGGAAAGGAGAGGCATAAGAATGGAGGGAAGGGAAAGGAGGGAGGGGAATGGAGGGGAGAAATGATAGGAAGGGGAATAAAAACAAAGAAAATAAAGAAGAGGTTAAAAGAATAAATAATAAGATGCAGAGAATCACAAAAAAATAAAAACGTGACCAACAAAGGTGAAGGAAACAAAAGAAAAGAAGAAAGTGACAAAAGTGTATGAATAAAAAAAAATGAAATAATAAATAGAAAATAAAGTGACAAAAAAGTAAAAGTAAATAAAGAAAGAAACAAAACAAATAAACAGACGTGACAATAACATAAAAATACAAAACAACAAGATAAAAAAAATAAAAATAAATAAACACCAAACAAAAAATAACCGAACAAAAAACGGATTGAGATCACGTGGTTAACAGGATAAAAAAAGGGGGGACAGGGGAGCGGAGGGAGGGGAGGGAGGAAGAGGAGGGGAGGGAAGGGAAGAGAGGGAGGGAGGGGAGAGAGGGGAGGAGGGAGGGGGAGGGAGGAAGGGGAGGGGGGGAAGGAGGGGAGCACATACACACCCTATAAAAGAGCCCCTTTCACTCCCGTGTTCTATAAACCCCAATTCGCCCCTCTATCCAGCCGTGTCAAGCACTCTCTGTTACAACCCGGATCTAAAACTTGTATTTTTTCCTCTCCTCTCTCTATCTTCCTTTTCTTTTTTTTCTTATCTTTTTTTTTCTCGTCGCTATATCTTCTTTCTTCGCTTCGTTTTCTCGTTCGTTTTTTTTTCCGTTCTCTTCTTCCTCTCTTCCTTTTTTTGTCTCTCTCGCTCCCTCTTTCCTCTTCCTCTCTTTCTCTCCTCTTTTTTTCTCCCTTCCCTCTTTCCCTTTCTCCCTCTCCCTCTTCTTTTCCTCTCCTCTCCCTCCTTCTCCTCTCCTCTCCTCTCTTCTCTCCCTTCTCTTCCTCTCCTCTTCCTCTCCTTCCCTCTTCTCTCCTCTCCCTCTCTTTGGTGGGTAGGGGAGGCATTCTAATGGGTTAACTATAAACTTTTTTTCTTTATTCAGAAGTCGGGCTATGAAAACTCTCCTCCCCCCCTCCTACCCCCCTCCTTGCTCTCCCTCGCACCCCCCCACCGCTCCCCCTCCTACCCCCCGTCTTGCCTCCCTTCCTACTCCCTGCCCCCCCCCGCCTTTTTTCAACACGTGCAACTCAATCAGGCAGTTGCGGGGTTGAAAGGGGCGGGGAGAGGGGGGGTAGGAGGTTTGGAGCCAGGGGTCGAGGGCGGGGAGAGGGGGGAGAGGGGGAGGGGATAGAAGCCAGGGGTTGAGGGGAGATGGAGAGGGGTGGGGGAGGGGGAGGGGATAGAAGCAGGGGTTGAGGGGAGATGGGAAAGGGAGAGGGGTGAGGGGGTAGGCGGTTTAGAAAGCCAGGGGTTGAGAGGTGGAGGGAGGGGAGAGAGGAGAGGGGAGGAGGGGGGAGGGATAGGAGAAGGGGTTGAGGGGTGATGGGGAGGGGGAGGGGGGGGACCAGGGGAGAAGGAGTTAGGAGTTGATGGCTGAGGGTAGAGAGGGGGAGGGTAGGAGCCAGGGGGTTGAGGGTGAGGGGGGAGGGGGCAGGATCATGTGACTGAGGGGGGAGGGGGGTAGGAACCAGGGATTTGAGGGTTAGGGATGGGAGGAGACGGGTGAAGGGAGGAGAGGGAGGGGTAGGAGGGGCTGAGGGGTGAATGGAGGGGAGGGGGGATAGGAACCAGGGGGGAGAGGTGAAGGGGGGTATGAGGGGTGAAGAGTGGGGAGAGGGGGGGGGAGCAGAAACCAGGGGGTTGAGAGGTAAGGCGCGAGGGGGGGTCTGGGTATAAGGGGGGTTAGGTGTTAGGACAGAGGGTATTTCGGTGAGGGGGGGGGGGGGGGGGTATGAAGGCAGACGAGGGACGTCGTGTTGACAACAGCCCTTTCCAGCAAGTGACAAAGGATTTTTTTTTTTTTTTTTTTTTTAAGGGTGGAATGGAATATATATAAAAAATGTTCACTAACATCGAAACAGTTTCCCGCGAGGTGAAAGACTTATTTTCCTCCCTTTTTGTTTCGAGGTAAAAAAAGTTAAAATCTGAGAAACAGATTGGAAAGGGAGGTGAAGAGAGAGAGAGAGAGAGGAGAGAGAGAGAGAGAGAGAGAGGAGAGAGAGAGAGAGAGAGAGAGAGAGAGAGAGAGAGAGAGAGAGAGAGAGAGAGAGAGAGAGAGAGAGAGAGAGAGAGCGCAAAGAACAGTGATAGAGAAGAAGGAGAAAAGGAGAGAGAAAGAGACAGGAAAGAAAATACAGTGATAGGCAAAAAAAAAAAAAAAAAAAAAAAAAAAAAATTTTTTTTCCAAATATACAACACACACAAACACACACAAACAAACAACAACAATTCCCATGCAGCTCCCTCCTTTCAACAGCAAAGCCAACAGACTCCACACAACAAACGTTTCGAGACACCAGGGCGACCAGCAGCGCCTCAGCCAAGACGCCCGAGACAAACGTTTGACAAGAAAGATATTCAGGAGAGAAAACGTAATAAATAAAACGTTTGACAAGAAAGATCTTCATGCAAAGAAACGTAATAAATAGGCGTACGTCTTGTAAATTTAGTGCAAATGTCGGCATGCATGAGGCGTGAACTAAATTATTGCAATAGTAGATATATTATTGAGTGAGATACACCGAATGTTGTTATAATTTGTGGAAGAAAGGTGAGAAATGTGTATCTCTGTATCTCTTCTGTGGAGGTTTGTGTGAGTATTTCTGCGAGGATATAAATACGAGATTTATATTCGTGTCTCGAAAGATGCAAAAGCTAATTCTCAACAAATAGAAGTCTAATTTTATGAAGAAATAGGCGAGAATTATCTCACTTTGTCTCTGCATTTCGAAATAGTTCTTTTTTAGCTGAGACTTATTTTTTTTTTTTTTTTTGTATATTTTTTATTCCATTTCGGTCTTTCTGGTTTTATAAGTATAAATACATGTGTAGTTGTGTATATTTATTCTTTGTAATAAATATAAGTGGTATATACATACATACACACAAATACACACACAAAGCAAAGAGATACATAAAACAC